ATTCGCAAGCTGTGGTAGCCCCGTAGCAACCCTGCAAAAAGCACTTGATTTTCAATTGTCAATTCGATTTTAATCGAGTTGCAGTGGATATTGTTGAGCACGAGCCATGTTTGCTCTAGCTACTTGCTCCTTTTCTTGGATGAGTCGTCTATTGCGGCTCACCGGGCTGAAGCTACCTCGACTCGAACCTCCTGCATCGTGGTTAGCAAAGAAGTACACGTACCAAGTGAGCTCATATTCATTGCACGTGGAGAGAATGGCGCGAACACTAAACGCGGCGCATGCCATCTTTGATCGCACGCAACGTGGCGTGTGCCATGTTGAAGTGTAGCATTTTACCGGCGATTCACAACGGCAACTCGCACGCGTCCGCAGTCATGGGCCTCGCCAAGCTGCGCAGCATAAAAGCCCTTGCTACCATGGATGACAGGAAGATGGCGCCGCCCGCGCACATGCTCTTGCCCAACCGTACGCTCCCAAGCACGAAGGTCCTTGAGCCTGCGTGGAGGTGGTCCACGACGGTGAGCCGCCGTGCATGTCCGGCTGGCGCAGTCATGGAGTTCGTCAGCTCACAAGGATATGCAATTTTACATTATTCCAAAGTGGGCAGCCAGAGGACGCCCATGGCGAGCAGGTGCAGACGTGTGCTCGACGGCGGCGCAATGTGCCCGAGTTGCAGCGCTCGGACGATGCGTCCCAAGGGCAAGCGCCACAGCATTTGCGGCCACTGGACGTCGTCGGCCGGCACGGCAAAGCCACACGCGACGTCAAAGTGACCAAACGTCGACTTGAAGAGCATGAGCCCGAGCACGCAGTGGCTCCAGTTGACATCGTTCGCGTCGACTTCAGCGTCGTCGGAGTCGGTGCATCGAGGTTTCTTGAGTGACGCGTCGTCGTCAGCATCCAAGGCGTCGTCGTCGTCGTCGTCGTCGAGGGTGAGGTCGACGACAATTTGCGGCGGTATGGCGAGCGCCTTGCGCTTCAAGCCCGACGTCAACGAAGCTGGCTCTGTTTCCGGAAGGGTCGGTGCCGGTGTTGGTACCTGTGTTGGCGCCGGTGTCGGTGTTGGCAATTCCCACGTGAACCCAAGCGCATCAAGCTCCATGACCTTGCGCTCTTCCATGTGCGGGCGTAGCTCGCGGAGCCAGACGACGATATCGCCGAGTCGCAGGCCTTGCAGTGCCAATGGCCACGGGCTGCTGGCTTCGTCGGTGCTTGGCACGACGTACCCGGTCGGAACGTCCGTGCTGCCATGCTGGAGCCGGTACAATTCGAGCGCTTCCAGCTTGTTTTGCCACCGCCGGTCGTAGTCGAACCCAAACGCGTCGAGGATGCTGCGGTGTGACGGCGCCGCCGCGTCTTCGTGGACGTCCAAGAGCGTCAAGTAGTACCCGATCGGCTGCTGCAACAGCGCTGGCGGCCACAGCACGTCGCTCGTCAGCACCGCGTCGTCATGGAGGGTCTTACGCTGCGTGGCCCAGAGCTGCAGAAACGCGAGGATGTCGGGCCAGAGCGCGTGGAAGGCAAGGTCCCACACCAAGCCGAACTCGACGAGCGTGGCCTTGTCAAGGGCGTCGATCGTGCCGGCGCTGCGGGCCGCGCGGTATGCTTCGGCCAGCGCCCCGAGATTGTCGTACTTGGTGCGCCAGTGAGCGGGGGCAATAGGTCGGTGACGCTCGCAGCAAGAGCGAGCTCGACTGAGCTCTGCCTTATGGCGCTCCAAAGCACTGCCAAAGGAGACAGGCGTGGTGCTGTGTGCTTACACCCTCCCACAGCCTTTACAACGGTGCAGTTGGCCCATGACCATCAAAATCGACTCGGACGCCGCGCCACACGTCGACGCACCCTCTGCGGCTGCCACGTATGG